TTTTTTAAGTCTGGAGTTATTAACATCTCATATATATATATATATACATATAAGTTGCTTCATTGTCTTTATATCAAATGGTAATTGCAAACTGGTAATGTATCAGCCTTATGAACTACACCATGATTTTCTGCTTATAGAAAATATTTCAAATTAATCACTTAATTTTTTTGTTCCTAAGCGATGCAATTGTAAGGGCAGCAATTCCAGCAGTCAACATTGCTGTTATTAAGTGAGGATCATGGATTGTTAAGCAAGGACCTCCTTGCAATTTTCTGCTGACTTCCAACAAGCAAAGTCAATGAGGAAGCTGGCAGAAAGTTATAAGTCCAGCCGGCCAGTGGATGAGTAAATGCACCACACAAGAACAGCCAGCCAGATGTGCACAGCTGAATGCAGGAAGAGGATGCTGCAGGCAGGCATGCACATTGAAGTATGAGGTCCCTGGGATCTTGTACTCTGTAGCCAGACTTCTCAGGAAAAAAAGTGGGAATGAGTGGGAATGACTTAAAGGACTGACTTGTGACTTCTCGTGCTGGCTTCCATGCTGAGTTTGCTTGTGAGAAGACATCAGGAAAGGTTAGAGATCACATGACCATGGGTCCCTGGAATTGTTATAAGTGTGAACCAGTTGCCAAGTGCCCAGATCATGATCCCATGACCACAAGGCTGCTGAAAACAGCTGAACTTTGAGAATCGGTGATAAGTAACACTTGTTCAGAGCCATTGTCATTTCAAACCATCATTAACCAAGGACTATCTGTAATTCATAGCCCAGAATAAATTCAATGAGAAGGATGACAAGTCAAGTAATGTTACACCCCCCCCCAAAAAAAATGATATACGGTATTTATATTCTCAACTTTGTCTTTCCATTTGGTTTGAAAAGCAAAAGCTAGGTTGCATTTAGCAGAACAAATATACGCCTAATTATATTCTTTAACATGAGCACTTCTAAATTAAAAATGTCTCAGTCAGAAAGAAAGTATTGCTTGTGTAGAACTATAGAAATTCAGATTCATTAATTCAGAGATACTCACATGCTTCAATTAATTCAGAGATACCCACATGCTTCAATGCATCAATATTTTTCATTACATGAGGGTATTGCTACCCAACAGTTTATGTTATGAACTATGATGATGCTGATCATTAATTGAACAATTCCTGGATTTAATCATCCATCCTGCCATCAAGTCATCAAGAGCAGGAAAGATCCTGGCATCTTTAAATTGAAAGTTAGAGTTCAATCATTAGAGTTCCTATCAGGAACATGGAACATGGAAAATTGCTGCTAATTTCAACAGATGTGAGATATTAAGGGGAAGCTGAAAAAAATTGGAAGAGCTGACATAAACAATCAGTAAATCAATTGGCAACCTCCCACCACTATCTAGAAACCTGAATCTTTTGCTTCCCCCATCCCATCCTCAGCCACTCACTTTCCAAAACATTAGAAATTTTGATCCTCTAGACCAGGGATGTCAAACTCGTAGCCCGTGGGCTGGATTCGTCACATGCTGGCCATGCTCACCCCCATTTTAGTGAAGAGGGAAAAGTCATGATACGTCACATGGCAACAACATGACAACGCAAGTTTGACATCCCTGGTCTAGACAATGTGAGACTACAGCAGCAATAGTATCCATATGTCTAGACTGGATCGAGGAGACATAGTTCTTTGCTCTTTTTTACATTGTTCGTTAATATGTGTCACTTTTCTAAGACCCAAAATATAACCCTGCTTTGACTGTCCATCTTTTATTTAGCAGTTTCTGGTGCCTTCACATCAGGGGTGAAATCCAGCAGGTTCTGCCAGGTTCTGGAGAACCAGTAGCGGAAATTTTGAGGAGTTCGGAGAACTGGCAAATGTCACCTCTGGCTGGCCCCAGAGTGGGGTGGGAATGGAGATTTTGCAATATCCATCCCCCAGGAGTGGGGAGGGAATGGGGATTTTGCAGTATCCTTCCCCTGCCATGCCCACCAAGCCACACCACACCCACCAAGCCACGCCCACACAACCGGTAGTAAAAAAAAATGGATTTCACCATTGCTTCACATGCAGATGGATGCTTAGGACTATGTTTCTTGTTATCATGTCTATTGTCGAGGCAAGTCTGTTGTGGCTAAACCCTTCCATTTTAGGCTGGAATTTGGGATAAAATCTTATAGGATGTTATTACTCATCTGTCTGACTTGATGGTGATTGATATGTTTACCAAAATGGATCAATTTACTACCTGTATGTGACTACTCTCTGCACGAGAAACTGTCAAGCTCTTTTTAATCAATGTCCTTCATTATAGGTATGATCATTGAGCCCAATTTACATCCTTTTTTGTTTTTTTGAAATCTTTCTTCCAGTTTTTTCATATGCAAATTCATTTATCATCCCCCAACCCCCTGAAGACAGGGATAGGGACAAGAAGATAGGAAGACAGAGAGAACCTACACAACCCTTTACCAATACTTACACTGCTATGTCTTGTATCAACGGGTCAATTGGCTGGACTTTGTGCCCAGAATTTACTTATAACAACCTTTTGCATGCCACAACTTATCCAGATAGTTTATAGCTGTAATCTGTACCATTAATCTTCCAAGGTGCCCTCATCTGCAGTTTCTCAGATGAGAATACATCCACCTTCCTAGAGGAACAGCAAGCAGCACAACTCCCTCTCAAGGAACAGCTGGACCTTGCCACAGTGGCTCATAAATATATGACAGATGGCCATAGACAGGAGTGCTTAAGTAATACTGGGTGGCTTCAACTGAGTTTTTGCCATCTTCCTGCCCTTCAAGGAAGTTAGATTCAAAATTTATCAGCCCATTCTCTTTATCCACACCAATTAGCGGTCACCTTTTGTTTACAAGTGCCAACTTTCGTAAAGATCCATCTGGCCTTCCATTGATTTCTATTCTTTATTAACTACTGTTTATTAAGACCATGTTGCTCTGTGCCCCACCCCACCCCCCACCCCTCTTATTCCTTCCCTTTTTTTCCTGGCAGGAAGAATATGAAGTAGAGTGTATTTTAGATTTTAAACAAGGATGGGGCAATTTGGAATACTTGATTCACTAGATCTACCCTAATAGATCTTGGGAAATTGCAACTAATATGCATGCATCCCAAGCTGTGCATCTGTAGTAACCCTGTAAGTGGAACCCTTGAAACTGTCTTCATCTGGTTAATAGTTATTGATTCAGACTGAAATATAGTCCTTGTTCTTGTCCCCGCTTCCATCTTGGTCTTCTTCCTTAGACTAAAACTTTGCTGTATAAGAGTTAGACAGCCAGACAGCCATGTCTGCTTCTTCTGTAACTTCCCAGTAGAATTTGGCTTGAAAAGTCATCTAACCCCTCTCTGGACAGGAAGGGGTATTAAGAGAATTTTCCTTTCCATTCCATGCTGAATGGAGGTGGGGACAAGAGAATGGAGTTGCGTGAGAATTTCTGGACAACCAAGGGCAGGAATGGAAGAGAAACTACACATAAGCAATCTAAAGAGAATGAGCAAATCAAATGACAGGTAATTCCAGCGTTACTTACCCCACTTGGAGATAAACCTTGAAGCAGTGTTCCAAATCATTTAGAAACTCTGCTTTATGGATTTACTGTAAATGGGAATGGGAAATCCCTCTCACATATTCTAGGATTCTGTATCTACCCCTAACTAGCTTAACGAGATCATTCTGATAATTCTTGCTTCCTTGATCTTGATCAGCTGTGTAGAGCTTGGGAAGAGCATGTCTAGCCTATCTTGGCAATGCCAAAAATCAAGCAGTGGAAGCAGTGTCCATTTTCCACTATAAAATGTCCAGTAGGGTAGTTTGTATGTCAGTGAATCATGGCTTTACTTTTTCGATCAGTATGCCATTAATTCCTCAATTAAATAAGTTATTACTGTGTTTCCCCAAAAATAAGACCCTGTCTTATATTTTTTTTTAACATTGAAATAAGCGCTTGGCCTTATTTTTAGGGAGATCTTATTATTTTGAGGCATGTGGAACAAGATGGGGCTCCTCTTGCAGTCTTACCTGATTTCCAGCTCTGCATTTAAATATTTTTGGGTAGGGCTTATTGTCAGGGGGAGGCTTATTTTAGCGCATGCGCTCAAAAGCCTGATCGGGCTTATTATCAGGGGATGTCTTATTTTGGGGAAACAGGATAGATAGTTATATATTTATTTGCAATAAATATGTGTCTGCATCACACTATTTTTTGAACCCAAGCATCTTAAACATACATTAAAGAAAAAAGATATTGGGATTTAATAAAAAATATTTTCTGCTAAGCCGTGTGAATATTTTCATTCAGTTTTCATGATTTTCATTTTTTTTCCAATGGAGATTCAATCTGCAAGTAGCAGGGGCAGTGACATACTGGAGTAACATTTGCCACCATTATATATTTTAGGTGTGAATACCACTTTGTGTTTTTAAAGATGAACTTTAAAAATTTCCGATCTGAGGCAAGTCTCTCATGATAGCAGTTAGCAATTTATGTTGGGCAAGTAGTCTAGTAGACTTCATTTAAAAAAAGAAAAGTAAAAAAAAATGTGGTATAGGAAAAAGTAACTTGAAATACACATGAAACAATAGCAAATCAGTGTAGTAGCTAGTAGTAGCATTCAACATTCCATTCAATCTCTTTTATCCTTCTATCTGTTTAGATTTTTTTTTATTACCAATACCAGGCAGAACACTATTGACTATGCCTCAGACCAAACTTCAAAATGTGATTTGCTATCACATAGAAGCTAATCTATGCAAATTTCTACCCTTTAAAAAAAAGTTGGTCATATTGTACAGTGCTCTACTTTTCCAGGCATTTTGTGTGAGCAACTGAAAAGAAGCCATGGAACATTTTACCAAATAGGTATAAAACTGATCTAGGCATTTCCGCCCTACTGGGCTAGGAAAAAGGTCAGAGAAAGTGCATTTTCTTATGGGAAGTTATGTCCACCTCATTAATTTCTTTTTCTTGTGCTCCTATTGTAGGGCAACCCTCTGTACTTCCAGTCTGCTCAGAATGTTACAGTGAACATTCTCAATGAGGAGAGTAAAGTTCTTACACGTCTGGTAACAGGTAAGGCAAGGGAAATATCTGAGGAAGAGAAAAAGGGAACCAAACGGGCATGATGATGAGAGCATTAGCCCTTGGAATAATCATCAGTAACATAACTCCATTGATACAAACCATGACCCCAGCTTGCCCTTGCAAAATTGAAGAAAGAAAAAGCCTGCATGGCAACTGAAGAAGCAGGCATGTTAGGACACCTATAATTCACAGATCTAGAAACTAATGCTCCCTTATTCTAGCAGAATTTCAGACTAGAATTGTCATTTCTGATACCATTATAAATATTAATCAGTAAAGTGCCAGCTATCTCAAGGATTTGGAACAGGCAGGAGATGATCCCTGAATACTTTACACTTACCTGAAATAACTGGAGCCAAACTGATTAATATTCATAGCACAGAAGTCCTCTGTCTTTAAACGATTTCTAAAAATCTTTTAAAAATCCCTCATGCAGATGAGTACCATTTATGTTCACAAAATGCTACACTCAATGTTTGACAGGGAAATGGATGCTTCTGAAATTCCCCAGCAGACCTGTCACTTCTAAGCATGGGTAAGCTTTTACAGTAGGAGCAACAGCAGCAAAGAATTCAGCCCAGGATTAGGAGATGAGAATCATGCAACCACATATCATTCTGGGTGAAATTAGACCACCTGGCTTGTTTTGTGTTCCAGACAGCAGGCTAAGTAATTCAATAAGGAGCCTTGGTCAGCACTTGGTTGAATGGTTGATGACTGATCTGCTGTTGGCAGGTGGAACATGAGGACTTGAACCAATGGCTGAATAACAGAAAATAGTAAACGGAACAAAGGAATCACAAACACCATGGAGGTATTTCTAATAGAAGACTTGCGCCATTTGCCAAAATGTCTGGAGTGTGAGGTTCTCTCAAAAAATGCAACTTTGCCTTTGAAATAAGAAGGGCATAACAGAGGAAAGCTACATCAAGTGTTTTTGCATGCATGTTTTGCAGCTATGCAATCATTCTTCAACATGGTTGGTTTTAAAAAGAAATGCATTCCAGTTTTGTAAATAAGAAAAAAAATGTAAATAGTGTAGGCATCCGATAGGAAGAAATCTATATTTTCTCACTCTTCGTTTCCATTTCCTCAGAAATGGAGGGACTTGGGGGTCACACTGGGGACTTTGCCCAGTGCTTTCGTAGCCAGACTCTTCTATTAGAAGTACTGAACCACACCAAAATGCAGTAGCTTTGCTTTGAGCTTCAGAAGCAGAAGTTCTCCTTTTTCCATGCAGCAGCTTGAAAGGAGTATTTCATCTGAAGTCCTGACAAAACTCACTATCTTTTCCCAGCTTTATACAGCCCTATAACTATCTACTTTGTGGCTTTTGTTAGGTAACCATAGTTTGCTTTAAACATTCCCATTTGAGTTTCTGTATCTTGGAAGAAATAGAGATTGATGGGAATCAACAGTGTAGATATTCTACAAATCTGAAAACTTCGGGTATTTTGGGTTACATAGGAGAAAGAGTTTTGCTATAATTCCTGTAGATAAATTATAGATTGATATGAAAAAAAAAACCCATATATTTGAGTTTGTCAAACAGAATCAAGAAGATTTAATTTAAGACAGTTCTATGCATGCCCATAAAAACAATGCTAACTTCCAAGGTGGGTAAAATGAGGACTCAGATTGTTGGGGGCAATATGCTGACTCTGTAAACCACCTAGAGAGGGCTGCAAAGCACTGTGAAGTCGTATATACTGTAAGTCTAAGTGCTATTGCTATTGCTATTAGAACTAAGAACAACAATTTAAGTAAGACTAAAATTAAAAATGTAATGAGCTTTGTGGAGTAGTCACAGGAAAGTAATTATTTAGTGGTTTTCATCTCTGTGGAGTATGATGCTGGTTTGAACTGGGCTGTAAGTGGACATTTGAAAAAGGACCATTTATGGATTGACTCCATTCATTCCTTCTGTACCCTTCCTTTTACCCATAGAGTTTTCAAAATAGCTAACAAGAAACAAAGAAAATATAACATTTTATATAATAAAACTATTTGTATACCATTTTTTAAAAAAATGCATGACTAATACTTAAAAATGTAAGCAACCAAAGATAAAACAGCCAGGATGATTGAAAGATCATTGATTTCTTTGGCAAATGGTTAGGGTTAAAAGTGATACTATCACAAATAAAGAAAGCAGGAAGAACTCCAAGGGTATCCATGAGATTAGTCAAATCCATCAGCATTTTAACCCTTCTAATCAGTGTAACTGATTAGTTAACACTAATTAGTCTTAACCCTTTTAATCAGGATAACCTAACCAGTGCATGAAAATATACAGGATCCCTCCTCCTTCAGGCCACCAATTCCATCTAATAGAATACCAAATATACAATATGCTCCTTTCATTGATACACTTCAGATGTTTTTGAAATGGATCCTTGCTTGCCAGAATGGATGTGAGCATCCTTCTCAGGAAAGAAGCTTAATACAGTCCAATGTTGATATCAAGTTCATTCCAGATTGTCAACTAAGGCAGCGGTCCCCAATCTGATGGTCCCCATCAAGGAATGGTTTCATGGAAGATAATTTTTCCATGGACTGGAGAGGAAGGTTCCAGTTTTGCTCGCCTGCTGCTCATTTCCAGCTTTGCAGGCCGGTTCCTAACATGATGGCCCAGTTGGTGGGAAAACCCTAAATTAAGGGATTTGTGAGGGAAGGCTAGTTCAGAATCTTTACTCTTGTACCATTCAACTACTGTAACCTGCCACAAGAGTGAACAACCTACTGGATAGTGCTTTGTGCCATTGGACCAGTCTGTCCTCATCTTTTAGACTTAGCCAGCTGTTGTAAGAGATTTGGTACAGCAGATGCTGTTGTGAGAGAATATGATCCAAAATATAAGCAGACAAAAACACGCACATGCAACACACACTCAGTGTTCTTAATTGGTGATTTCTAACAAAGACTCATTTTATTTGAAGTAAATGCAAGATTTATTAAGAAATAGACAGGATTAGAAAGCCCTGCTTCTGTCTAAGCTACATCTTGAAGAGAAATAAGAGCCTTGGTAGTACAGTGGTTTAAGGCACCCTGTTATTAAGCTGGTTATTAAGACCAGCTGCCTGCAATTACTGCAGGGTTCGAATCTCGCCAAGGCTCAAGGTTGACTCAGCCTTCCATCCTTTCTAAGGTAGGTAAATTGAGGACCCAGTTGTGGGGGCAATAAGCTGACTTTGTATAAATATACAAAAGGATGAAGGCTATTGCTGAGCACATTGTAAGCCACCCTGAGTCTCCGGAGAAGGGCGGCATATAAATCAAATTAAAAAAAAATAAATAAAAATGAGAGGAAAAAATAACCTTTATCTCTTAAACACAGAGACTCACTTAATTAACTATGGGATAGGTAAAAGATGGACATAGGGATAGTGTGAAAAAATCTTTCCCTCATACCCCTAAGGTGCTTTTTCAAGAGGCAACTGGACTTTCTGGTTTTCTTTTTCAGCTCTTGGATGAGAAGCAAAATGTCTTCAAAGAAAAACCAGAAAGTCCAGTTGCCTCTTGAAAAAGCACCTTTGGGACAACCATGACTTGGGTGACTGAGAATCTCCATAGACTGATAAATGCAAAAAGATAAATACAGTCTTCAATAGCTGAAGCACAGAATCACCCAGTAGAGATTAGTTCATATCTCTTCCATCAGGCAGGCAATGAGGAGTCTATTTATTTGCATGTATCTATGAAAAATTTAAAAGTTCATTTAACAAAGTTTTCATAATAACATCTTTGGTTATTAATTCTTGATGCCTTTGTGAAATAATGCTGTCAAGTAGTTCAACCGTGTGACATCTGATTTGAATAGTACGGTACTATAGTACAGTACTATATAATCACATTAAGATTTTGAATGTGAGTTATTTAATTATTTCCTAGCCTTGATCTTTGACTTTACACTTGTAAAAATCAGCTCCCAAATTATCCTGCAATTGATGAACTATACAGAGTCTGCGATTAGCTAGATAACTTTAAAAATTACAATAACAGTAATATAATATACTATAATAATGTTCTAACCTCTTTCTTTTGGGAAATAATAGCATAGCAATGACAACTGGAATATGTCAGTGAGGCATATTTGCAGTTGCAACAATACTACATAACCCTTTTCACTGTGGATTCCAATTTATTGAAGTAATGCAAAAATTAATCTAATTTCACTGTGATAATCCAACACAAAATATATTAAAAGGATAAAAATGCATTCCCCTTTGGAAGTGCAAAATGCTAGTCAGGTAATTGTGTTACAAGGTTAATATAATTCAATTGTAATATTATGTATTTAATTGAAAACTATATTTAGAATGGAAGCAACTTTTCCCTCACTCCTAAATCTGTAGAACTTGGCCACGTTGTTGTGCTTGAATGAATTTGTTTCTAATTTATTCCTTGAACTACACAACTATATTTTGTGTCAAATACCTTGTACTCCTTATGAACTTCATTCATACTTCATTGTAACACAGCATCCTTACATATTAATTGTTGACCAGAAATGATATAGGGCATGTCTGTAGTAGGAGAAGCTTAACTTATGATGTAGATATTGTTACAGACCAACTTTTGTAAAATCTATTCAAAGAAAGGTACTTTGTACAGTATTATAGCTATTTAAATATGATTGTCCTCTTGATTAAAAGGCAACAAGAGAACCTTAATAGGTATAGAAGTGATGCCCAACCTTATGTTGAATGAAGAGCAGCCTGTATTTTTTATTTATTTTTTTAGAAAATGGGAGCAATCAAAAATTTGGCAAATAAGTGGAGATTTGTAGAAGAAGGAGTCAGGTGTTTTATTCAAAAATATTTATTAGAAGTATAGGAGGATTTTTTGAAGCCTAGTTTTCTGTTAGGAGAGAAGAAGTAAACCGCTATTGAAAATCATCTTTTTTTGCTGAATTTCAAATCTTTATAGGACATCTTTTTTGCTGTTCTTCAGTATACTCTAAAATGAGTTCAGGCTAAACGACATTTTCTATAATGTTGAAAGAATAATCAGAACATTTAAAATGTTCTAGTCAATCAAGTTTCACTAAAAATCTTTTTCATTTCCATTGGCCTTTTGTTTTTCAGGAAAAGATAATATTTGCTTGTGGTAGTGTCAGGCAAAACAATGATTGATGTTGTTGAGAGAACCAGATGATTGATATTGATATACATAAATATGTATGTATGTATATAGAGGGGGGGGATGGAGAGCTTTCTTAAATAGAGCTCTGTTCAGTATTTGCTCTCACTCAGAAATAAGGAAAAGAAATTACTTTAGTCAATTCCCACTGGTGCAACTCACACTCTCTGAATGTGTTCTCTCACTGATTGATAAATTTGTCAAATATGTTATGGAAGGTAATTCTGAGGATTGCAAAATGTGTCTTCCCACCAATGGAATTATTCACATGAAAGAGAGCCTTCCATAGATGGAAGGGAAGTTTCTATTCAGAAACAAGAGAATTTGTGTCTCTTATTATACATCTACTTTAGTTAAGTGGATGAAACAGTTTACCTAAATCCAGTGAGGGGATAAAGACAATTTAAAATATCAGTGATAAATTCAGTTTTCTGTATAGTAAGCCCTTGTTATGAAATGTATTGCCACTAAGACGAGCCTCCTCTTTATAACAAAATATGAATAGGCTAAAACCATATTTATTTATTCAAATATGTTTTTATTTCTTGTTTTTATTTATCTTTCTACAATTGCTTTTGTGTTAGACATGTGTAGGGATGGTTGGCCTACGAAAGTTGTAATAAATACATATATACTTTGAATTTTACCCTGAGTTTCTAAATGAGAATTTTGTGCAAACGAGATGCAAGTTCTAATCTTAATGGTACTGTCAGTGGTGAGCTGTGTTACTCTATGGCATCTACATAATATACATCTGTATAATATGCTGCAAAAATAAATAGATTCCATGCCACTCAGTCAGTTCTTTCTCAGATTATCTTTACTAGACATCTTTTCTTTCCCTTTATGGAGATACAGGGGAACCAGTGTTTCATTTACTGGAAATGTTGAAGCTCCTGGTTATGAATGATTTCATGGATTTTTAGCTTGTAATGACAACTTGAAAATGTTTTTTGACAGTGTTCAAGTCAGTAACAGACAACAGAGTAGTGATTTTTTTTAAAGAATATAAATGTAAAACACATGCCTAATTAATTTAAAATAAAATGCTGTAAATATAATAGAATATAGGCAGGCATGTTTATCAGTATTTCAAGGAATATTTATTTATTTATTCAGGTTTATTAGCATAAACTATTCCATGAAGCTCTGTTCATTCTGTTCAATAAATATTAGTTATGTATAATTTCCAGGATTAGATTAGTCATATAGACCACTAAATTCTTTCTTTTCTTTAGGTCCCAAAGCAGTGGAAGCCTACAGCCAAAAATTTCAAGTGCTAACCACTTCAGGGAAATTGTTATTTTCTGCAGATGATAATGAAGTGGTCGTTGGAGCAGAAAGACTGAAAGTTTTAGGTAAACAATTTTCATCTAAGCTTCTCTTATTATCAGCATATTGATTACTTTGAAAATAGTTTATATATATATGATCTTTTTTACAGTCATTATGAAAGAATGTTCTCTCATGGCTTCGGCAAAAATTGATCAAATGTTTTTTGCGAATTCATGATATCAGTTTTCTTTATTGAAGACTTTTAAGATAAGGATGTTGGGAAATCAATCAGGGTGACCATCATCGTGGTCACAGCATACATTACGAAGCACAGTGTTATGAAAGACAAACATCTTTGCTTCTCATCTTTTCACAAGCAGATGTGGGCAAGTAAGCCACACCATTCCATCTAAACCCATTTCTAAGTGATTTTTATGCCTTAAAGCTTAAAAATGAAATGGCATTCTGTCTTCAATAATGGAAAGAGCAATGCTGCACCTTCCAATCTAACATTCTGCATTAAAGCCATTTGGTTTTGCCAGCATGTATATCGCTTTCGAAGCCTGCAATTTATATCACCCACAGTACACAGCTAAGACTATTTAAATCATTTAAAATAATTTGGCTGTACTGCTAGACCTTGGAGCAAAATGGTAGTTAAGCCCCTGTAGGCTGTTTTATTAGTATTTAGAGTCTTATGTTAAGTCCATTTCCGTTTGTGATCCCCAAACCATAATACTTTTTTTTTTACTTAGACAGTAGAAAATAGCATCAACTGTTGCCATTAGGTAATAAAATAGAAATAAAATAGAATTTTGTTTTATATAAGCAGATGTCTGGTTATGAAATGGAATTTCCATTGCTTTTCTTTTTATCTACGTCTCTCTGCACATCCTTAAAACTCACTCTGGAGAATTGGAAGCCTTCTGGAGGATATTTAAGAATATGAAGTCAGCTGCAGAATTCCACTTCCATTCAATTCCACTTCCACTTCCCACTCACAAAATAATATTTTCAGTTTCTTCCCCTAATGTTTATGATGCAGGTATTAGCAATCATGTTTTTATGCTTTCAAAAACCTTTCACAAAGCAGCTCAACTATGCATAATTTTGAAACTTCCAGAATCTCTGGTGAAATAATACAAATTGACAAAATCAACAGATACTTGTTTATTCTACTTTTGATAAAGATTTTAACAACATTTGCATCAGCTGGTTTCAGTCATGCCCCATAAAGCAATAATTAGCTCCAAAGGGAGAATTATTATTTTCAGTATCTTTTCTGAGAGTTTTGTATAGATGTATATTTATTATTAAAAAGTTTTATATTTTATGAACTTCAAAAAAGCCAATAAATCAGATTTTAAAAAACTTATTTAAAAACATCATTTCGGTGATGTGCTGCTTACATTTTCAGCAAAATGTCCTCAGTTTTTCTTTTTCTCTCTTAAAAGAGACATCAAAGGAAAATGAGACAATGACATCAAAGCTGAGTTTATAACAGCTTTAATGACCCCCTTGATATGTGTTATACTTATTTCTTATGTTGATTGTAATCTAATTAGTTTAGGGTGGGGTATGTCTACTAATAAGTTATTTTAGCATTGGCAAAGTCCAGGTACCTCTAGCATCTCTTTTCTGTGTGAAAAATCTTTAGATACTCTTGTTATTCCCTCACATGTCCTTGTTACAAAAAAGAAAAGAAAAGAAAAGAAATACAGAATTATAAACTAGCAGGAAAGCTGTTTTGGAGAGGTTAGAGCAGCAACAATTGGGTACATATTCTATTTTTAAACTGGCTAATGATAATTATTTCCTTTTCTTTGTACTTGTTCAAAGCTTGATCTGAAATTTACTCTTTAAAGCAGTTCGGGGCCTTCAAGTAACAAAATAAGATTGTGTCTTTTTTTTTTTTATTGGAATGCTTCACATCTTTTCCAGCATTAAAACCAAGCAAGGAGTGAAAAACAATGTTTAAAACATCTGAAAGTTAGAACTATTTTTAAAAAAGAAGGCATTAACATATATTTTGTTTTGCAAACTACCAGCCATGATGAGCATAGAAAATATTACAGTCTGTCCTTTTCATGAAGAAGAGAAGTTTGAGAGAAACATTTAAAGAGTAATTTACTTTTATAGGCATACATTAAAACACTGGTCAGGCTTAAATTATCCTACCTATGTTATGTGAAGACCCAACACTGGAGGATAAAGTTCTAAGGCTGGAAAAGATGGAAGGAAAGAAAAGAGGATGACCAGAAAGTTGGATGGACTTAGTTATGGTAGGAATGTCTGTATTATTGGAAGAACTGAAGGACCAGGTTAGGGACAGATGATCATGGACAAAAATCTATACATGTGGTAGGTAACAGTTGACAATGACTTAATGGTACACAATCATCATTATAATCATTAAAACATTTGTACATACATGCATATTGGGACCCTTTTCTTACTATCAACCAGTCAGGTCATTATGTACATGTAATCCAGCATCTGTAACTTTTTCAGGACTCAGATACCGTCATGCTCATCCCCATGATGAAAATCTTGTGAACTGCAAGGCATTTTATTAATGTTTAAATTTTTCAAGACCTCATATAAGAAAGCAGAAATTTTATAAGATCTGCAGTTCTTCAAAGATTCTTCTTTTACTATGTTTAATTTGTAACAAACTTTGATGTGATTCTAGCAATGTTTAACATAAAGATGAATGTTCTGGTAGGTACTACAAGGACCAGAATGCTATAAACTAGCTTAATATTTCTAGCTTAATATTTCTTGTTTGTAGTTCCCAAAGTTTTCAATTATTAAATTCATTATTTTTAATTTCAGTGCTTTAGCAAAGCATGTATTTTATGACCAAGCTATAGAACTTTCCAAATTGTTGTTGGTAATGCTGGGGAAGCTTCTTTGTGAAAATAGATTTCTTCTAAATATTTGTCAGCATTGCATAGAATTTGGACAGTGGACCAAAAGGCAAGACTTTGAAGAGATCTTATGCCATTCTCAGGCCAGACTTTCTTCATTTGTTACACATTCATTAAGTTTATAGAAATATTTAATTAAAATAAAAGTTTTGGTCCAAATTTTTAATTTTCTATATATTCATAAAAAGGTAATAGTTTATTATTGTTCACATACTTTAAAAGGATTTTTAAATTATATTTTATTTTAAATTCTTTAATGTTTACTATAAATTATTTTGTTTCAATGCAAATTTAGTTGCCTTTTAGACATGTTTGGAGATTCAGCCACAGTGGTTTAAATTTTATATCAGTAAATCATTGGTCTCAAGGTAGAGAAACAAATGTATGTTTAAGAAAATAATTTAAATTATTGATCTGTCATTTTCTCAAGGAAAGAGAGTTGAATATACAAAATTAAATCTTTTATTGATGGCTACAGAGAAATTTTTCAGATACATGCCAGAAATGTTTAGGAATATATTGCTTGACTGTTGATGTATTATCAAATCAGTGTTGACTCATAGCAACCACATAGATCTGCTTCAGGATGTTTAAGAATATAGATATTGTACTGGTGTTTTCTGACCCATTGGTTAAGGGTGCAGTGGCAACTCTAAACTATAGAAGAATTTTCAGCATTTTTTGCAAGTATTCCTGAGCAAGTGTATAAAATGGAATCCAGAGTTATTAGTGGTCAATGAAACATGAAACACTTAATTATACTTGTAAATCATTTTGTTGTTGGAGATGTTGTTTTAGGATTTTCCAAACAAGAAACATTGATTTGTTTCTTCTATTGATCTTAGGGAGCAACAACAGTTGTAGCTAAGCTATATTTTAATAAGAAAACATTGAAAATTAGTTTTGATGTTCATTAATTACTTATTTATTTAATGAAAATTGAATGTTACAGCACGTATAAATAAAGGGTAATCATAAAACATTATTCTGTTAATTAGTTCTTTTTATACTACAGATTAGTTTTAAATATGTCCTCTACATGCCACTTGATCGCTCACTAGCAGAGTCAAATTATTATCACTGCATAAAAGCATTTTAATGAAAGATAAAGTAATTTAAATTAGAATGAGTTTTTTTTAAGAAAAGAAACCAAGATCAAATTAGCCTATAGAACAATAACAATAATTGACATGTAGTCAACACTGATTTCAAACATAATGATATTGGAACCCTGATGAAAAGAAAGCTTGAAATTTTATTATTGAGATGTTTGTCCGATCTGGCATAATAAATCACCTAATTGAAGAATTCAGGTGCTGCTTTTTATCAAACTTGCCTTTTCAGTTCTATACTAAGCAAATCTCACTTTGAACAGCTGGACTTTATTTAGAACTAGTGCAGTGAGGCTGAAATTTATTTGTTTCATCAATTACTTTCTGTTCCATTTATCATGAATGATTTGTCTAGCATTCCCCGGCGGAGGCAGCAGACACATAGGAGGCAGCAATAGCGCCATTTCTGATCAGCCAGCCCACTGATGGGTGGGGTTATGCGAGGCCAGGATCCAGCTGTCACTCAGCTGACCGGTGATGGGCGGAATGGAATGGAGCCCTGGCAAGCCACGTGCTGGAGCTGGGAGGCAGAGGCAGATTTTTAGTTTTCTTGTTTTCCTCCCCAAAAGCTAGGTGCATCTTATGTTCCGGAGTGTCTTATAATACAAAAAGTATGGGTAGTTAGATTTTCCATTGCCTTATTTAATATTTTGTGGCAATAGATTTTCCATCTTCCTACCATTTTATTTTTTTTGCAAAAAGATTAACCTGTGCTGTTTTGCAAATTCACTGCAACTTTTTTATATGCATGTCAAATGTGCATAAATATTATGGATTAGGGCTAGTTAGCAATATACAGCTGGAATTATTGCTTTTCTTCTCAGAAGCTAGGGAGAAAAGACTTGTTTTGAAGAGAGCAACTGTTTTTTTTCTGTCAAGGAAACAATGGGTTATTTCAAGAACTTACACAATTGGATACTTGCAGTCTGTAATGCGTTTGATTGAAAGGGGGATATCTCATGTTATCTCATAGGAGGAATCCACTTCCTAATAATTCCTGGAAAAGAAATGAACATATTGCTCTCACACGTTTAAGATTCT